GGTGTGGGGAGAGGCAGTGAGAGCAAGAGCCCGTCCTCAGGAGAGCTAGGGGGGCAGTTTTGGGACCTAGAGCCAGAAAAGCTGTCCCTCAGCCTAGGTCACTACTGTCTTTGAGTCTTTGAGGCCCGGTCTTCTCCTAACAATCATCACTCATAGGCAAATTAGCATTTTAACAGCAGACCTCTTCCACCTTTTTTGGTCTCCATCTCCATATTCCCAACCCCTGCTATAGACCCACAGCCATGGCTCCATGCTGACCTTAAATCTGGCCTCACTGTTACCTTGCCCCTGCCCGCATATCAATCCCTAACCCTGACTCTCCCATGAACTTCTTCTCTGAGGGAGCTGTGCCTCTCATTTCTGACAGTACTGCTTGGGTACTCACAGCATGCTTTTAAATGCTCTAGTGCAAGGGGGGACACTCCTGGTTCCGCTGACTTAGATTCTGGGATAAAAAAGAAGCAATGGGAGCGTGTTTTATGCTCTCCAGGTGATTCTCCCAGTGGGATTTCTCTTAGGGATCCCAAGAGGGTGCAGGGTCTTCTGGAGATGCCCCACACTGGGCTGCCTGTGCTGGGTGGGGCCTGGCCTGTCTGCAGAGTTATAGTAACCACACCCAGCCCCTCCACACCCTGTGAAAGACCTGGCAGTTGGGCACAGCAGCATTCACTCACCATTTAGCAAACATTCAACAAGCCTCAATGTGCTGGATCTGGATAAAGGCCATAAAATCCACACAGCCTCTTGAGGCTGAGGCCCTAGATCCCTGGAAAAGGCTGGACCCCAGCAGCCACTGCAGGCCTGAGCAGGAGAGGCCTCTGCAGCAGCTGAACCAAGACCCATACCAGAGTGTTAGTTACTCTTGCAGCTCCAAAAGGTCACCCAGGGCTGTGAGGAAGCGGGAGCCAGGCCCATTATCCCTTCCCTGGAGGTGGGTAGGGCAGCAGGACTGGGAACAAAGTGACCACTGGACAGCTTCCAGTTTCCTTAGGGAAGGCAATACTCTGAGCTTGGATCTGCTGTAGGGAGGGCCTCAGAGGTGGGTATCCCAAAGGAAGAAGGAATTTCCTTTTTTCTCCCATTCTCCTTTTCTCCATCTGGCAACTTAGAAACTTACCAAGACCCTGTCTTAAAATAAAATGTAAAAAAAAGGGATGGGGTGGGTTGGGAATGTAGTTCAACGTAGAGGCCCTGGGTTCAATCCCCAGTACTGGAAAAAAATTAACAAAAATAGGAGTCCAGGGCTCTCCAAACTCAGTGCAGTTAGGCAAAGTTTCCTAGAGGGCAAAAAGAGACAAGGGGTAAGGGAGGAGACCCTTACTAGATAGTAACAACTCCCGCAGGAGGAAGGACATGGGTTCTACTTGAAGTCAGAGATGCACATTGCTTCCCACCTCCAGCACTACAGGTGGAAGGTCTCAGGTAGCTTGCTCCCTTCTCTCCTCAGCAATCTCATTATTTAACCCCTTTGAGATGACCCTAGAGGCTTCAAGTGACTACCCAGCTAACTTCCCAGATGCTGGCTAGTGACTTCTAGTGCACTCCCCTCCTCCCTTGTACTCAAATCACTAAGAAATACGGCTGGCAGTGTCATCCTGTAGTCTCAGGACTAGGGCACCTGGATGTGCTCTTTGATCACCTCCTGTCACCATATGGGCTCCCTTGGATGAAGGAACACAGCCTGGGCGTGTCCACACAAGGCTGTGCACATTGGCTATGAGAATGACTGCAGACACATGTAAGAAGTCGCGTTCTGTGGGGAAGGATGTGGGTGAAGGCGGCCAGCCGGTGGTATCCCACATGGTATCCCAGGCAGGTCCCCGGGCAAGACATAGGAGATGCTAGAATGGAGCACGTCCCAGGGTATTGACCCCAAGAGGAGAGGTAGGAGCAGCTGACCCACCAGGCTTGGTTAACAGGGGACTCAGCGCCAGCTTGTGTGGGGTGTGCATGTGTATTCATGGGACAGAAATTGAGGGGCGGGGGAAGCTCCTGAACAGCCTCATCCCAGCTGGCTAGGCGCATCAACAGAGGTGCCAGAGCTCCCTGGGGTGGCCCTGGAATATTTTGCTTATTCTCCTGCTCCTCTCAGGCCAGCTGCTGGCTCCCAGCTCCAGGATATTAAACACCAAACCCAAAACTGCCCAGCTCTTTCACACCAAAGACAAAGGGTAACCCCGTTTGTCTTTTGGCTAAATCTGTGGCCTGGCTCACCTTGGCAGCTGGGCTCTGGTCATATGTAGGCATGTACTTATGTGTGTGCTCACATGTGCTTGTGTGCAGTGGCTAAGGCCAGGGCATGCACTCTAGGCACACAGATGGTTGGTCCCTGGAGGCTGGTACACAAGCCTCGCTGCTCCGTGGGGCCAGCTGGAGGCCTGGGAAATCTCTGTGGGCAGAGACCATGGGTCAGTGAGCAGGTCTTAGAGCCTGCCAGGGAGTGTGACCTTGTCCTCTCCAACCTCCCCAGGCCCCTGATAGTCTAGAACCCTAGACTATGAAACAAGCCTAGGGAGACAGCTGGGATCCAAGGCTCTTAAACCTCTGCGCTGAGAAGACAATGCCAGGCACGAGAGCGCCTCGCCACCTTGTGGGAACATGTGGTACTCTTCACTGAGCCCCTGGTCAGCCAACCTGGAGGGGAGAGGAAGTCAATCCTGCTGGATCTTCCACCAGAGGCTGGGCTGGGCTGGCCTTCACACTGGCACAGAGGAGGAAAGGGAGTAAACCCACCCATCAACGCAGAAGGGGCAGCCCAGGATGGCCCATCCGCACTGCAAAGAGCACACCCAATTCCAGATGATGCAACCTATGCTTGAAACACCTTGGAGGCAGTTTACAGGAAGCAACTTGCAGTTCATTTGCCGTAAGGAAACTGCAGCCCAGGAAGGGACCGGGACCCACCCTGAAGGCTCCTGAAGCTCATGTATTCTCCTGCAGAAGTCCCAGACAAGTGGTCCAGATGGAACCTAGTCTCCTACATAGGCCTGCTCACCCTGCAGTGAGAGTTACCACAGGTTGGCAGAGGCTGGCTATCTAGGCACAGAACTGGAAGTTTTCCATGGGGCTCCAGGACAATCAGGATCTTGACGTTAAAAGGCAATGTTTTATCATTTATGCAGCATTTACTACAATGCTCGCTTTGTGTTGAACATTTACAAATATTGCCACTTAATATTCACAATGATATAGGTGTATTTAATCCCCATTTTTCAGAGAAGGAAACTGAGGCAGAGAAGCAACTTGCCCTAGGTTGCCAGCTGCTAAGTGGCAGAGCAGAGATCTAAACACAGTGATTTTGACTTCAGTAAGGGTGAGGGCTCTGGCAGGCAGACTTTGGGGACCCTGCAGAGCACTGCCAGTTACTGCCCTCCAGCAAAAGTAGCTGCCACTTCTCCAAGAGGCACGGCCTCAGTGTGCCCTCTGCTGGGCACAAGGAGGATCAGGGTACTTCTTCACAATCAGATGCTATCAGAGTCCTGGCATCAGCTGGCAGGGAACTATGCTCTCTCTTCCCAAATATGGGTCAAGGGTCAAGTGGCTGGCTGTAGACCACTACCACTGTCGGGGGCTCCCAGCCCAGCTCACGTCTGCCTACTGGCAGAAGGAATGGGTTTCTCAGGGCTTTCCTCTTCTTGGAATCCTATCTGCCCTGAAAGTATACTGATCCCAACTGTCCCCACCGAGAACCATGGACCAGATAGATAATGCCAAGGGGGAACTGGGATCCGTGCAAAGCACTTCCATGTGGGCAAGGGCTAGAAATAGAAATCCAAAGGGAGGGCCAGGGATTTAGCTCAGTGGCACTGTGCCTGCCTTGCAAGCGCAAGGTCCTGAATTTGATCTCCATTACCAAAACAAAGCCAAAACACACACACATACACACACACACACACACACACACACACACAAAACCCCAAAACAAAACAAAAAACTTTCCCCATCTAGAAATCCAAAGGGATACGTGGGAAAGGACCCTCCTGTGAGGGCCAGAGGGAGACAGGCTGTGTTGAATCCTGAAGGATGGCTCCAAGAGTGAGGAAGCATGGTAAAGACTTGGGTCAGTGTGGGAAAAAGTATGAAGAAGGAATGGGTATCACAACATCTCCACATAGAACAATTTTCTTTGGTACTGGGGAATGAACCCAAGACCTTATGTTTAAGAGGCAGGTGCAACACTACTGAGCTAAATCCCCAGCGAACAACTTTCTTTGGACTCAGGCTTGACACTGAGTGGAACTTCGTGACAGGAAGGGAAGAGCTCAAAACTCTCCAGGAAATAAACACAGCACCCAAGTTTGAGTTAATACCCTCAGGAACAGCCTGAGGCATAGGGAACCTCATGGGCCTCATAGAAGAGGAAGCAGGAGTTAATGCACATTTTATTTATAACTGCCTGCAAGGCTCAGCAGGGGGAGGAATGGCAGGTTTTGCAGGAAGAAGGCCAGATTGCGGACACAAAGTTCAACAGAAGGTGTCACTACCCTGAACAAGGGGGCTCTGTGTGGGCTGGAACTTGCTGTATGTCCCCCCCACCCTTCCCTCTAGGCCACCCGTGAATCTACATGGGTTCTCCTATTTCACACCCGATCTCTCCCCGCTCACCCACATGGATTGGCCATAGCCAAGAGACCCAAACTTTCTCTTCAGTATTTCAACTGCTCTTTTTCTGCTCTTCTCGTCCCTAAAATTCTATTCTTAGGGAGAGAGAGTACCAACTTCCATAATCGCTTTCCCAGCCTCCTACAGAAGCCTCATCACCCCGGCTACATAACCCAGACTCTGGATGGCTGGTAATGCCACTCAGTACCAGCTGGCTATATATGAAGGCAGAACAGTAGGCATGAGGGTTTATCTGTAATAGGCAGTGTTGGCTGAGGCAGGATGTGAGAATAGGAAGGCCCAGGAAGCCAAGGACATGGGCTTATTTATCATAGAAGTCCACATGGGCTCCCGACTCGAACATGTCTGTTTGCAGCAAGCTCAGGAGTTTCTGGGCTGACATTCTGCAGTCCACCAGCTGCCCCTTTGCCTTCAGCTCCTGCAGGCTTTTTCGCAAGTCTGGGTCCACAGAAGTCTCCCGGGCCAATTGTTGCATGTCTGTGTCCAGGGGACCTAGGAGATGAAAAACAGAAGACAAGGACAGAAGGTCAAGGGTCCCCACGCATAGTGGGGCTCAGTCAGGTCTGAGCAGGGGCAACACTTCATCGTGGTTGAAATGCACAGTCAGCGTGGCCAAAGGCGCCATTCTGTCAATACTGAGTTCCAGACTCAAATTCCGAAGGTCAGTGAACATTCTCCCTCCTAAGCCACTGTGTCTAAAACCTAACTTATTATCTCCTGTGCAAGCAGCACCTCCTCCTGACTTTCCAACTTCTATTAACAAAGTAGTCAAAACTTCCATTCTTCTCCACCTGCTTCCCTCCAGCCAACCAGGCACCAGGCACCAGGCACCAGGCACCAGGCACCAGTTAAGACCTCTGCATCTGTCCTTTTTTACAACCCTGGTCTCCTCCTACTTCAACTCCTTGCCTCACCCTCCGCTAAATTCATTTTGCTAATAGGATCACATCACTCCTCTGCTCAAAACCATTTACAGGTTTCCCAGTAGCCTGCCCTGTACTCAAGGCCTGCTCTATGAGTATGTGCAGCCTCAAGACAAAGGAGAACTGTGACCCCCCAGCAAGCTTTCCTACCTTTACCAGCATTTCTGGGGTATACCTTGCTTCTGCTAACATCCAAGCAACCCACAAGGGTCAATGTTCTGAACGGTTACCTCCAATAAAGCCACCTCTGATCTCCCCACCTGAAGGGAGTAACTTCTTTCCTGAACCCCTATAAGCACTTTCTATTCTTCATATCAGAATCACAGCACTCCAGAATTAGGAATTAATGATTTTCAGGAGCAGAAAATCACAGGATCTCAGAGCTGGAAGGGGAATCATCCTGATACTTAAAACTTCTACTCACCTATGCATCTTTTATTTTTATTTATTTTTTGGTACCGGGGATCAAACTCAGGACCTTATGCTTGAGAGGTAGGTGGCAGAACCACTGAGCTAAATTCCCCGGCTCCACCTATGATCTTTGATGAGAGATCCCTTCAACCTTTCCAAACAACATTCTTCTTGAAAATCACTTTTTTTTTCAGTGCTAGGGACTGAATACAGGGCCATGCACACACCAGGCAGGCATTCTATCACAATCTCCCCACCCACTGAAGTAAGCAGAGCGGCCTTAAGGCTCTGGGAAACTCCAAAGAATCTCAGCTCCTTCACAATGCCCAGGATAGCTTCCCCAGATCTAACCCAGCCACATGGCAATCTAGAATCTGCTCTGCTCTTGGATGTAGTTTACATTAAAAGTCACTGCCATGAGTCCTAGGTGAAGCTCTAAGCGAGTGTCAAGTGGGATGTTAGTGCAAGAATAACTGTGTGTATGTTAGGGGGCACTGGAGAACACGAGGACGTGGAACCACCTGATCAAGACACACACTGATCAGGAACTTGGAAGCAAGACAGGATTCTGATCCTATCACATCTGGGCTTTGGGTGGCCATTCTACCTCTCTGCCCTCAGGATTCCAAAGAGGAGTAGACTACTCGATCTCCACCTAAGTTATTCAGACACTACCCTGGTTTGGTCACCACCTGCTAACTGCAGAAACCACAAGCCAAAATAAAAGCCCTGGCACAATGGCATCTTGGCAGGTGGTCAGAAATCAGACCAGGTATCATAAGACCCCATACCCTTTAACTTTCACAAGAATAAAGTCCTTCTCTTATTTATCCCAATAACCCTCAGTGCCCAGCCGCCGTGTTCCAGCTCAGTTCAGCCTGGGATGACCACAACTCTGCAATGTCTGTCTGCTCTTCATTCAACTAACATTTACCATGGAGTGCCTCAGCACAGCTTTGCAAGGGAAGGAAGCTGACAAATGCATATACAAAGGTAATACAGTGTGACAGCTCCTGTATCATTCAAAGTGTTAACCACCAGTTCTTCACTATTAAAAATCATTTTCACATGTACTGCCTCTTTCAGTCCCCCCAAATGCTCTGTAAGACAGACAGCACCTTCCCCATTTCACATGAGGATATTGGGTTCAGGCCCAGAATTGAAACCCTAGTCTTTGCCCAAATGCCATCTGATATCTCAGATTTTCCTGTTCCACCCTCCAGTCAGACAACTCCCTATTCTCTTTCTGTATCCTCTGTCCCAGCCAGCTTTAACTTCCTTAAAATCTGTATTTCCTGAGGAGTGAGGGGGTCATGATTCAGGGACAGTACACTCTATGGGTTTTTTCTCAAGGAGACAGAGTAGGCCTCTTGTGCAGCTTCCAGCGAGGAACTGGCCAGTTCTGGGGGACAAGGAGAAGCACTTCTCACCTACCTGGGGCATAACTCAGCACCCTCACGCTAGGCTCCTCTGAGGCCAGGACCTGGAACATCATGTCGCGGGCAGCCTTCCCTGCACAGTACAAAGCCCAGCCCTTGAAGGGCTTCAGGGCACAGAGGGATGAGATGTTAACAACTGTCCTGCTAAGGCCAGGACTGTCGGGAAAGGCCTTCAGAACACCAGAGGTCAGGCAGAGCGTGGAGGTCAAGTTCAGAGCCCAGTAGCTGTTCACTTCAGTGGGGTCACTGAGGTTCAGGAAGCCTTTGGAAACATCCCCAAGAGTGCCTGAAAAACCAGACCGAAAAAGTAAGTCAGTGCAAAGTGGGGTTTCTCCTTCAGCCCTCCCCCAATTCCTCCAGGTATCTCTCTCAGATCCATGTAGAGAAAGCATCTGCCTAGCATCTCCCAGGACACGGCCCTCTTCCCTAACTCTAAAGACAGACAAGCTTGGGGAAGCCACTCTACCGGAATGGGAGCTCCAGAGACTCCTTGGAAAAGCAAGGGAACGTGTTCGGAAACCCATGCCGACTCAGGCCTCCACCAGAGGGCGCAGCGCAAGACGGTCGGGAAAGTTCTACCGGCGCTTCAGAAAACCTGGCGGCGCGAACCAAGTCCGCGCCGGGGTGGGGTGGGCCCGACAGCACCGCGCATTTCGAGCGTACACTTCGCCTCTGCGGGCCGCTCAAGCCTGAACAACTGGGGTTTTGGGCTTCGAGCCGTCTAGCCGGCGTCCCGAGGCGTCGCCCGCCCCAGGCCGCGGTGTCTCACCGGCATTGTTGATGAGCAGCAGTCTCTGCAGCCCCTCGGGCCTGGGCAGCTCGCGAAGGGCCCCGAGCAGCC